AAAAAAGGTTGGAGACCGCTGGTCTAAATGAAACATTTTTAAATGTACACCAAATGGTGGTTTTAAATTCAAAGTGTATTAACGTCCATCCTCAGGTGTGGTGATGTTCACAGTTTCCTAGCAGTGTTCCAATAGTGTTTTCTTAGGGGAGTTGTTGAAATTAATGTGACACACAAACATTTGCCCAGAGCTAATTCCCAATTACAGGACATTTGCATATTGCTCCGAGAGCACAAATAACATTGAAACGGTTCATTTTAAATGCAGAAATCAATCGGAGTTGTATCATCGCACTGTTTCTCATGCTCTGTCAGTACCTTCTTGTGACAGAGGGGTTCTCTCTGTCTGTGCAGGCTGTATCGTAAGCACGCTGCACATTCACTCATTTTTTAATCTTCACCGCGATCATGCAGCTACCATTATCCTTCTCTGATACGAGGGTCGCACATCAAAGCAGCAGTGTGTGTCGTTTGGACTGATTGCATTTCTGCAACATGTTAGCAAATAGTTGCCTACTGAGTTTCCTCAAATAGAAACCAGTAATCAGTTAAATACCTGGTCTCTGGTGTGTTTCTGATTGGACACAATGAAATACATGGATTAAGTGCTGATTTTGTTTTGTGACTGGGCATCTGCAGTATTTTATATTTAGCAGTACTGTTGTGTTCTGCTCCCTTTCCGTGTGTGCACCCAAAAACCTGAAGGTGTGGAGAAAGGAGAAACCATAACAGCAAATATGACAATGATTACTGACAACTCAGGCTTACTAGAGCGTCATATGTGTCCCTTTCTGCAGTTTAAATGTGCAGCATTTTCAGGAAATGACTGTAATACATTTGAGAGTATTTTTTTTTAACTATATCTGTCATGAAGAAAAATCAGTTGGTTTGGCATTGTCAAAAACGATCATGGTTGCAGAAAAGTTGTATGACATTTTGACAGGTTCTCATTAAAAACAAGTGTCCCAGTTTGAAGATATTTGTTTGTATTAAACGTATAAAAGACAGAAAAGACAGATGTTTAGATCTTTGCCATTAATGACATTGTCCACTATTATATGTGCTGTTTGAACTGAGAAACCCTCACTGATCAAACGTTTCTGTTCCTGATTTACAAACAGGTACATAAAGATTGGAGACAAGGAGTGCGAGTACAATCCCAGTTTCCGTCTCATTTTACACACCAAGCTCGCCAGCCCTCATTATCAGCCAGAGCTGCAGGCCCAGTGCACCTTAATAAATTTCACAGTGACCAGAGACGGCCTGGAGGACCAGCTGCTGACTGCCGTGGTCAGCATGGAGAGACCTGATCTGGAACAGCTGAAGGTGAGAAAGTCAGTGTAGGCAAGGAGCAACCCTGCCTGATACGACTATTTGACAACAAAGGGGAGTTTTGACAGATTCGTTTTCATCCAATATGTTACAGGAATGTAAAAGTGAACCTGAGCAGACATGAAAGGAGCATCTGTCACACTGCTCGGATGTTATCAGAGAACAAACAAGCATTCCACGGTGGACTCTTTGAGTTTCTCTCTTAACATCTTTTCTGAGCAGGTGTAATTAAAAGTCACAGTCAGAGGAGTCAGGGGCCTCCTAGCGCTGCACATAACACTCTTGCTCGTCATTATCCATCCTTAATGGTTCTCGTCAGCAAGAAAAGATCGTCTGTCTTTAAACATCACAAGGTCCGGGCTCTTTGATTCCAAAACAGTCAGCTAGCATCTTTGATTAATGGCTGGTGGTTGTGGGATAATTATGAGGCTTAGGATGGCGCACTTATGGAGACTGGGGACCTGCACGGCTGTGAACGTGCACATCGGCACCTGCGTTTTCACGTGGCGTGTGTGAGCGTGATGTCGTCTAAATAATAATAATAATAATGGATTGGATTTATATAGCGCTTTTCAAGGCACCCAAAGCGCTTTACAATGCCACTATTCATTCACTCTCACATTC